TGCTGCCCTCACAGTGACCGGCAGGCCACCCCACACGGCTTGCCGCCCCCAGCACCCGCTTTCTGCACTGGGGCCTGGAGCCACCCCTGCCCAGGGACAGGAATTGCCAGACTGGAGCAAGGCCAGGTTCCGCAGGCTGGGGTCGGAGACCAGAGATAGATAGTACCAGGTTAGAATTGAGAGACAGGAGGCAGGGTCAAAATCGGCAGCAGGCCAAGATCTGTGTGGAGGTCAGACTAGATGATCGGAGGTCAGACTAGATGATCATAATGGTCCCTTCTGACCTTAAAGTCTATGATTAAAGTCTATGAACTTCCTGGGATTAAATAGGGGCACTTGGCGGGTACTGTCATTCTGGGTCTCGTGGGCAGTACTTCCTGCAGCACCTACTCTCCACAATGCTCCCTGGCCATGCATCTGCATGACCACCTAGTAGCACTGTGGGAATATCAGCCACCTCAGGCTCTGCAAGACTGGGTTCTAATTCCTGGGTCCTTTCTGGTCCAGTAGTTCTCAAACTTGAACACATCTAAAACAGAAGTACTTGGCACATCACCTTTGTAATTAGTTTAGATCCTTGCTCTGATAAACTAACCCTTCCTAATACTTCATTGAGACCCACATCCCACCCTTTGAGAAACACTATATAGTCCAGTAGGATGCTGCAAAAACAAACCTGTTGTGGACTTTTTATTCCTAATCCCAAGCAGTAAGTGATAACAGCTGAAGCCTTCAAGATTGTACAAACTTTTATGAGCAGTAAAGATTTAATAATAAAGAAAAGTAACATGCAATCAAACTACCAACGCATGAAGGGAGGGAAATTAGCTTTTGTTTTGTTAAGGTCCTTTTATAACAATCATTGAGGAACGAGTGTTTATTTCTGCCCTATTTGATTTAGGCTTATTCTTCTGCATCCCTTCAACCTTTCCCATAGACTGTTAAGTGAACCGGTGCTTTGGTTATTCCCATGTATTAAACATACTCCAAGTCCAGTGCAAGAATTTCAGCTAGATACTGAATGCTTCCCAAGGCTTTTATCCAATCAGTTCTTCATGGTTTACAAATGAGGTACATGGGCACAGAAGGCCATAGAAGTTTACTAGGACTGGTGTGTGAGGGAGTTATAATGATATAATTACTAGTTTTTGGTGAGAAATAAATCTGAGTATGAGAGAAAAGCTTATACCCAACAAAGCCAACAGGTTTCTATGCAGAGAGGATAAAATCTCATTCTAGAGAAAAGGAGCAAAACTCAAGGTGCTGTAACACGGTGGTTTTAGTTACACAATGATGAGTGGGAGGAAGTGGATATGAGCATAGGAGCATCTATTTTGCATAGCAAGGGGCTGGGTAAAGGTATCCCATAGTATGGAGGAGAGGAGGTATATTTCTGTCCTCAGTTACACCTCTACAATCCTGTTGAGATCAGTAGTGTTGCATGGATTAAACTGAAAGCAAAATTTACAAAAGGGGCTCCTTTAATTTACACCCTGACTGTTCTGTTAGTAGCTTTTCTTGATACCTTTCTCTTGTGTGGCTCCTTGGTGTGTACATTCACCAATTTACCTTCCCTTAAACATCATTCCTGATTGTGGCTTAGGGGCTGGTTTGAGATTTGATTTCAAAGTTGTACAAGGGAGCTGTGAACGTCATTTGCAAAATGAGCTTGCCCCTTTTTATGTGAGCATCACATGAAAATGTGTTACTTAAAAATGTTTCCAAACTGGTGTGAAAAAATGACGAGGTACAAGAGCATCATTATACGAGGTACAAGAGCATCATTTATAGTAAAAAATAAAAATAGATCCATATGTGCAAACCAGTTATATGAAATGTCAATTAAATCAACTCTAATCTCCCAAATACAATTTTTATTGCTCAATTCATTAGAAAGGCTCTTAAGGTAATGAATAGTTGTCACTTTTATCAAGGACCACTGGTTCCTTTATAAATGTGCACTAAAAACACAGAAAGTTGTTTTAAAATATTTGGCTCCGTTTGCCCTCACATTGTCTCTGAAGTGACTGTAGGATGCAGTGTGGTCTGATACAGCAATTGTGAACATCAACTGTATAAATAATAGTGTACATTTTAAAAAAAGACAAAGTAGAGCTATAAAATAATTCAATTGCATAGATTTGAACTATTATCTAACACAAAAATCCGCTCTATATAACTTCTTTGTTTTCTTTCCTTTAGCAAGTCCGCATGCAACACCATCGACTCTTCATTTTCCAACATCACCCATTATTCAGCAGCCTGGGCCATACTTCTCACACCCAGCAATCCGCTATCATCCTCAGGAGACTCTGAAAGAGTTTGTCCAACTTGTCTGCCCGGATGCTGGTCAGCAGGCTGGACAGGTGGGGTTCCTAAATGTAAGGAAGCCATTTTTATTTCTTCAGAAGTGTTCGTCCTATGTCACATAACTATGGAATTATCTTAACAGTGCGTCACACATGTGAATGTAGCACCTTAAATAGTTGCTACAAGAAAAAAAGAAGCATTAACAACAGGAAAACAAAGGTACACTGTGGTGTAATTAATGTACTTTAATAGTCAGAAAGGGCTGGTGGTTCAATGACCTTCTGGGATCCCTGTACCCATGCTTCAGCTTCAGACGTTTGAACCCTAGTTCCACTGGGTTTAACAAAATACAAAGGCCAAATAATTTTTATTAATTATTCCTTTGGCGTTGGGGGGGAAGAGCAAGAAAAGGGAGGGTGAGAAACAGATGTTTCAGATCAGCTAAGTTCATTTAAAAAAAAATATACTGTCATACAGCACTTTAGATCAAGTTGACCAGTACTTGAACCCAAGATGTTAAAAGTACAGTTTATTATAGTTTGTTATTTCTGTATGCGGTTATCTTTTTCCCTTATCTCTATGAAGAATTAAGCAGTGTTCCAATGCTTCAAATAAGCATTTTCATTTTTTAATCAACTAAAGTGAATCATCCTCTTCACTTTATTGAAATAACATTCCAGTCAAATACAAAAATGAAACTTTATTTACATCGTATCTACAATAATGCTGTGAACGTTTCATGAAATAAAATGCATGTAATTGTGTCCCACCAGCAGAATAATAATTGGCAAAATTGTTATTACTTTTCTTATATACATAACATTGAAAGTATCTTGCATCTGAAGAAGTGAGGTTCTTACCCACGAAAGCTTATGCTCCCAATACTTCTGTCTTAAAGGTGCCACAGGACCCTCTGTTGCTTTTAACATTGAAAGTGTTACTAAACCTGCAGAATTAATGTAATTAATGTAATTATTAGCATTAATTTTATTTAATAAGCTATGTTGTCTTCAATACTTTTTTCCTACCAAAATACTCGATTCTACATATCCCAGCCAATACTGGCTTTGAATAATGTCTGCAATATGTTAGCAGTTACATTTATGTCTAGACAACAAATCAACAGAGTGTTTTTCTTTTTCCTTGAGTATTCATTTGCTTAGTTTAGCCCAAACCATCTGCATTTTGAACTGTTAGCACATTCACAATGAACATGCAGCAAAGGTCTACTTGGTAGGAAATTGGCCTACTTGTAAGACAAGAAAGTATTTGAGAAGTGTTACTGAATATATTAGTTTATTAAAGGTGCTGTATGTTGATAAATATCTCTGAAAAGTTACTTTTGAGTAAGGCCTCAACCAAACAAACACGAGTAACTAACTGTACTCTTTGAAGGCCACAGTACTACTCACGCATGTGAATTACATACATATACAAGCCTAATTCTTATTTACGCTAGGGCCCTTTTACATCACTGTCAGTGGAAATTACAGTTGCACCCACATTCAGGCCCGTTTACATTGCCACGGCCGTTAAAGTGGCTTTAGCATAAATGAGAATCAGGCCTGTAAATGGCTGTAGGATTGGGCCCTTAGTCCTAAATAATTCCTGTTAGTGGAAACCTAAGCAGAGATTTAAGTACAGTTTTTCTTCAGAAGTATTCAGAATATGTATCTGTATTTAAAACTGAGCTTTTATCAATGGAAAATTGGACATTCAGTGCCAGAAGAACTGCAGTTAGGATCAATTTGTGGAGTGCTGTCAAAACTGATCTTGTCATTTCTGTCACTAAAACAGAATACCTGATTCACAGACTGTCCTACTGTTTTCTTTATAATGGTACTGCCATCAATTGGTATGGTTCTCAATAGTCTAGTTTTACATTAAGATTGAAATTTTCCATATCCAGTCCTTGTTTTTATGATGTTGAAAGCTTATTTACTAATGGACAGGAGTTTTCCTAGTAATCACTTGAAATAGCATAGCTGAGTATGCAGAACCATCTTGCCTCTGATTATGTACATCCCGAACAAAATACTTGTACTTTTTTAATATTGAAAATAAAGCAGATGTAAGCTCAATTGTTTCTAAGCAGATACCTAATGGCAGCTGAAATGGGAGCTGTGCTATTGGTAATTTTATGGGAATATAGGAGTTCAAGTTGCTTAAAACACATTAACTTATTTTTTCCATGAAATAAGATAGCTGCTTGACTTTTAAACCACCCCAAAATTATCTCTTTTCCTACTAATGAGTTTCTTAAGAAATTTAAGCTTACGTTCCAGGCACAGATATCCTAAGGGAACAGTAGAGGCATGAATGTAGCAAGTGTAATGGGAGACAAAATTCTGCCTAAACTTGTACTGTAGGTAACTTAGTGGTTACACAGTGCAAGAGTATAATTTGGTCCGGGGTGATTCTGACCAGTTGCTAACTTTGGAGAAACAGTTTGGCCCACTAAATAGGGTGAATTTCTTGCTTAAAAATGAAAGATGGGTTTAAAGGTCTTTTACACAGTGATTGCAAGATTTTGAGATGGGTTGCGGTACAAAGCCCAGTGAAATAAATGAAGAACAGAAGATGGCAATTTTTCATTCCAACCTGTTTACTTAGCAATGAGAAATTAAGCATTTGTCACACCAAGTTTTAAATTGGCCTTTCCTGTTGCTGGAGGCTGCTAATAGCTAATTTTGTCTTTTGTTTTTGGCAGCCCAATGGCAGCAGCCAAGGCAAGGTGCACAATCCATTCCTTCCTACCCCAATGTTGCCACCACCGCCGCCGCCACCAATGGCTAGGCCTGTGCCTCTGCCCGTGCCAGACACAAAACCTCCAACCACATCGACAGAAGGAGGTGCCGCCTCTCCTACTTCACCAAGTAAGTATGGCTGCAGCAAGGGAGAGAGAGTTCAATAAGGTTCACACTGTTGCAACTACCATGTATCTTCTGTTCACCAACCAGGAGGAGTGGACTGTGCTCTCCAAGTTAATTTCACAGTTGTCAATTGCATAAGATTGACAACAAAATACTGCTGGCATTGAACATAGTTACACACCGGAAAACTCATGGCCAGCAGCTAATGTGTGGGGGTGGAGCTGGGATATTCAAGATGCTCTCTTCCCCACCCACACAGCCCTCATGTAGCCACAAGTCAAATATACAAATTCCTGCATGCACATTGGAGCCACCATTTTGGATTCACTCTGCTAGGAAGCAAATGTGCGTCAGCTGGGTTTGAAGCTTTAAACGCTTTGGGCGTGCAGGGAGTTAATTGCGAATGGTTTAATGAAACGATGCTCAAATTGTCATTTAAAAACAAAGGAGAAGTTTTCAGTACTTTAATGGCAGGGAGACTTGTTCCCCAATTAAATGAATCCAAGATGAAGTCCAAGAATAAGCCATTATTGGAGTGATAAACATTTTTATTTCAAATGCCTCCTTGAGAGTTTACAATTTCAGAGATGGCCACTGAGGAAGCACATTAGATAGATTAGATGGAGAGTGCCCAAAAATCAATGTACTCTAAAGAGCAAATCCCTGTGTATGCTTTCAAATCTATATTATTTAAAGGCTGCGTGTGGCCACTGCTTGATGTCCAAGGAGGCATGTATTATTCAACAAATATAAAGCCCAAGTTCTTAAAGCTTCAGGCACAACTCAGGTGATTCACACCTCAGAGGCCAATATTGTGGCTGTCACATGGTGGGTTCCATGGGGCATTGCACAGTCCTGACATTTGTTGTGTTTTCATGGCATTCTTTAACTGGACAGGATTGTTTGCATTTCAGGCTGAGGATACTTTGGCTTGCTTGGGAATTATAATTGTGACAGAAAGGATGGGAAGGTGGGATTTAAGACACAGATTTAAGCTAAAACCGACCCGTAACTTAGAAATGTTGAAAGATCATGGTTGCTAGTACTGCTCAGAAAATTTCTGTCAGAATGAAATCCCCCCCTCCCCCCATTTTCTAGCCATTTCTGACCAACACTTTGTATATCATGAACCTGTTTGTCTTAGCACTTTTGATGTCAGGTATCAGTTAATGCTTTCTAGCTCTTTAATAAGAGTCAGTAGTGGGCTACTAAAAGGTTAACATTTACTCACTGGTGAGTGGTATTTGAAATAACTCAGTATTTCCCTGTCTTTAGAGTTGGAAACTATGAAGTCAGTATACTATACATGCCATCATTTATAATTATAGCTCATAAGTTATGGGCAATTTGTGGTATTTAAAAGAAAAAATATCCAAAACCATTTTAACAGTTACCTTAATGTTTATTTTATGTGATCCTTGGATTCTATAAACAATAAACATGTCTTTGGCCAGATTCTCAGTTGATGTAAGTTGACGTACCTACACTGATATCAGTGGAGCTACACCGATTTACACTACCAGGCAATCTGGCCCCTTGTGGCAAGGAATGTTCAACCAGGAGCTGTCAAGATAATCCAGGTTTTTTCAAAAGCAGCTAGTTAATGGTATTTAAACAAAAGATTAGGAAAAATAATTACCGTTGGTAATTAGTCAATCTGATATCTAAACATCCACTTCTGTACATTTTCAAGCATGCACCTTCCATTTGATAAGAGTCATGAATGTTAAATAGAACAGTGAATTGAGTTTTAAAGATGTGTGTACTACAATTTAAGTCCACATTTTATGGAAATGTGGGCTATAGGAATGATTTCCAAAGAAAAATATATCACATACATATCTGAGCCTGTTGAAGCATGTTTAGTAAAATAAACTGCCAGGACTTTTCCACGAGGGAACACCCATTTTTAACAGTCTCAGGAGAGTTCAAATGGTACTGTTCTAATCCATAGCAACCCTCCAATTGTCATTGCTTTCTGCAGAACAGTAGCCCAGAATACACACATACACTGGGCCACTCTCCATATGTTTGTCTTGCTGGACAATCTTGTCACATAACGTTCTGCAAATTTAGAACTGTCCTTCAAAATGGAGGACAGGTAGCAGCTCTCTCCAGATTATAGCTACGGAGTTTTGCTGACATACATCAGAAAATGTCCATCATTGCAACTCAGAGTCAATAATTTCCTGGATCCTACTCTGTTCCTTGCTCCCATTATACTGTGGACTTTGTTGCTTATTGGGGTCCTTAACTAAGTGTAAAAACTGTCAAAGTGCACTGGTATCTGTGTCCTTAAGCAGTATCTTGAGCTCAGAATACGTAATGTACCATAGAAAGAAGCCCTTGCTGAGAAGTGTTTTGCTATTGTGGGGAAGGGGTTGTTTGTTTATTAGAGTACGAATAGTCAGTACAGAGTCACCAGAACTACATGAAAAGATGTTTTCCATGGTTACACAGTTCCAAGGCACCAGTCCAGGAAGCATCCCTTTTTTACGGCTGTCTCCCCTCCATGGCATTATAATGAGGGAAGTCATTTACTGAACAGAAGAGGAAGTGCTTATACAGGAGTGATATTAGCATTTGGCCAGACTCTCCTTTGCTGTGTGGAGGGGAATAAAGGCCCCAGGGAAATAGGTGAAGGGGATTGGAATTTGTTTCATGCTGTTTCCCTCCTTTGATCTGGTAGAAAGCCCTCTGCAGAAGCATGCATTTTGAGGCTCTACTAGACATTGGAATATGGCCCTCCAGGGGGGGTGAAGAGGCCAGGAGCAGCTGCTCAATATGTCATGCTCTCCTGGGAAGTAGAACTGAAGAGCACGACACAACGTCATGGTGGTTAACGATTCTCAGAGCAGCAGTAAAACTCTCCAACAGTGGGATTAACTTTCTGTGGAAAGCACGTCCATATCACACTGCTTAAGGAAGGAAAACCCTATGGCAGGGGGGAGGGATAGCTCAGTGGTTTGAGCATTGGCCTGCTAAACCCAGGGTTGTGAGTTCAATCCTTGAGGGAGCCACTTAGGGATTGGGAGCAAAATTATTACTTGGTCCTGCTAGTGAAGGCAGGGGGCTGGACTTGATGACCTTTCAAGGTCCCTTCCAGTTCTAGGAGATAAATAAATATAATATATGGAGGTATCCTATTTTATTTACTGAGGTATTTGCCTCTTGTGCTGTGGTCTGAGATGCAAAGACATGGGCTCAGAATTTGCAGTTGTAGGTCCTACCACATTTGCAAGAGGTGTATCTCTGTCAGTGAGGAGATGCAGGGGAGAGGGGAGCTCATAGGATTTCTGGAGTAAGTTTTTCCTCCAAGCACAGGTTTTTCTGCAGAATAACTTATCCTTACCATAACACAGAGACCCTTAGTTAGCATCCAATCTTTCCCCCTTCTGGGGATTTGGTTTTATTGGTAACTCAGAACCAACACAACACAAACATCACCCTAAGCTGCTTTACAAAGCCCGACTGTTCCTGGAATTGACCTGCTGTGGCCCAAAGAAACACCACCTCCGTTATGTACTGATTGGAGCTTAATAGGGCAGTAGGGCAATAATTCCCCAGGGTATTAGTATCTGAGCCCAGGGTGACTCAGCAGAAACCTTCATTCCCATACAGGGTCTAAGGTTTTTTCCATCTTGTTACCCCATTATTTTTAAAAAACACAACTGTTTTAGTGAAAGTTATTTCCTAATGCTCCAAAACTGAGCCCCGGGAGAAGAACCTTTTCTGTTCCACTTGTAGGGCAAGAGAACTATTGCTTTTGTGCCTTTGTACAAAGAAGCTTTCACATTAAATGGTGATTGTAGCTGGAGGAGAAGAGTAATCTTGTAGCTAAAGCACAGGACTGACAATCAGGAAGTTTGGGTTCTAGTTCTTACTCTGCCACACATTTGCTGTGTGCTGCTTGAGCAAGCCCATTCAGCTCTCCGTGCTGTACCTTCCCAGAAAGGAGGATGATCATGATGACCACTTACCAACATTGCTGACTGTGTAAGTGTTGCAGTGTGCGTTAAGATGCTCCGATGGAGAGTGCTACTGCAATGCAAAGTATTGTATGTGTGCATGTTCTTATACATGGCGTCATGTCTGTCTCCCCAAAGGGGTGCAATGGTCTTAAACTTTAGCAGTAGATATCTTATAAAATGGTGTAGCTATTCATATCAGGCACGTGTGCCCATTTTTCTTCCTGGCCTGTAAAGGAGAAACTTCACAGTGTATTAGACTAGCACTGACTGGAATTCTGCTTTGCCAGCAGGCAGTCATCCTTGTTAATTCACAACCAAAAGGTAGACTGCACACTCTTGCATGTAACAACACTTCTTTCA